GGAGTTTGGGTCCTACCATCAAACATTCCTCAATTGATTTATAATTGGGGACTTTAGCCTAACACTATTCTCATTTGACCCATTTCAAGATATTCTTACATAAATTGACGATATTGTTCATGGAAAACGGGTTGCTTTATGAGGCGGCGTTCTAGTGAACAGAAACGAGAAATTGGATAGTCTCGCAATCCAGGAAAAGTAGGATTAGTATATTTGAAATGGAGTGAAACAATATATCGACCTTGTTCTTCAGGACTTCAAGAGTCAACACTCGCGGAAAATTTTCAAGTTCTGAAAATTTTTTAATAATATCTAATGAAATAGCTGATGAGTCACAGAGAAATGAATCTTCCAAAGATGTCTCAGAGACCTTTATTTTTCTCACAAGTATATATCCCAATACGATATTAATAGCAATTGGTTTGTCAATGTTTTCCCTTGCACATCCATCTAAAATAATTTGTGAGAATATATCCGTCCCGCCCCGAGTAAAATGTCTACAGCACCCGGACCAGGTCGGTAAGGTGAGACCACGATTCAGATAAAATATGAAAGAAGGGGAGGTTATCATATATGTTTGTCATAACCATTCCAACAGTAAATAATATCGGTGTGTCTCTACTAATAGGTTTAATCGTAAATGTAACAATGCTATTATTCATTCGTGCGTGCTTAGTGCTAATTCTTTCAACTTCAACTGAACATTTCGATATCTTCAGTCCCAATTTGTTAAGAGCCCTCCGACTAATGAAGGATGTCATGCTCCCCTAATCACCAAGTGATCATCTTCAAGAGGAAGATCAAACTAGTCATACTCACAAAGCTATCCTTATTCGTACTATAGATACTTGTTCTAGGTACCTGCGTCTTGAGTGTCTTGAATTAATTTCACAATCTTGTTGTTGTTAAGTTGTCTAATCTTGATGAACTGAAGTCTATGGAATGGTTTTGTTGCAAAATATGATGGTCGACTGCTGATTTTTCAGGTCTTCCATATTTTAAAGTGTGCTAAGTGGTCCTTATATCTTATTTCAATAGATATTTTTGTCTGTCCATAATATTTTGCATCGCAGTCCTTACATTCAATTTCGTAAATTTCAGACTTTTCCGAAATCTCAACTTTGTCTTTTGGACTTTTTAAAAGGCTCTAGCGTATGACTTGTTTTAAAAACCACCTTCATATCTTTCCAGAGTTCTTCGTGTATTGGTGGTATGGAACTGAGTTATATTTATCTTGGTTTTTGTTCTTTCTAAAAGTCGAGATTTCGTTCATTCTTAACCTTCCTTATTATGTCACCTACAATATCCCTCGAGAAACCGTTAGTGGCTGTTATTTCCTGTATTGTACGTTTTTCTTTTGTGAACCTCTCATGTGGTACCTGAGAAAAAACAAAAGACGCACTAGAAAATTTAACCCAGCACGTTTGTGCTATTCACAGTGATGTGAACTGTCAGGAATATACCTGTACGTGCTTGTTTCTTTTCTAAATACATCGTATTCTAACCCTCCATATTGGCTCCTCATTACCAAAACGTCAAGAAATAGAAGTTGTCCTTTATTTTTTACCTCATACATGAATTTTATTGATGGAAATCTATTATTTAAAAAGGAAACAAAGTCCTCAATATTAGGTTTTTGTTATCGAATATCGCGAAAATATCCACATACCTTAGCCATATCCTAAAAAAATACTTTGACTTTTTCTTGGTTTCCATTTCGAATCTGCTCATGAATAGGTTTGCCAAGTAGGGGGACAAGGGGTTACCCATAGCCGTTCCACCCTCCTGTTGTTCATAAAAGCAACAAGCAAAAAGCTACCTGGAACCGGTTTTGTTTCATACACAAATTAGTGAGAGAAACGAATTCATCAATTTCAAAATTATTGAAATTATTTTTCTCTAGTAATTCCCTGAGGCCTGTGGAATTGGGACGCTAGGAAATAAGGAACTAACATTAAAAGAAACATATCACCTTCTTGCAGAACAATGTTTTTTGTATGTTGTATGAACTCTAAGAAGTTTTTTATACTAAAACCTGGTTCCGCAATAGACAAGCTTTCAAATTCCTTAGTGAGTCACTTTGCTATTTGATAGGTAAGTAGGAAATCCAATAGCTGACATGATGGGGCGCATTGATTTTCCCGGTTTGTGGATTTTTGGGAGTCAATATAGTTTTGACACCGTTGGGTTGGAAACTTGTAAGTTCCGTTTCAGTTGAGGGGGAAGTATGTTGTCGCATTTCTTGAGGACGTCTTTCACTTCGGCAATCATCTTTGGTAACGGGTTCCTGGACAATTTCACATACAGTTCGTTAGTGATGAGAGTATTGACCCTTTCGTAGTAGTCCGATTTATCCAGAATTACTACTTTGTTACTTTTATCGGCTTTCAAATAAAAAACGTATTTGTCTTTCAATCGTTTGATAAGTTCCTTTTGGTTTTTATCGTCGTTTATTAAATGTTTCCGTTTATCTGTTATCATGTTCCTGGAGATTTGATTCTTGACTTTCTCCCGAACTAGTCCTCTCAAGGAATCGGGCATATATTGAATCGAACTTACAACACTAGCAACGATATCCTCAAGAACTTTCTCGGAAGACGAATGAGAGTGCAGAAATAAATAAATATTATTATGAATAACGATGGTGGACCAATTTCTAATATAGCTTGTTAAAATAATATTTTATTTATTAGATTTACACAAGGACACATTGCAAAATTAGACTAGTAGATAGGGCAATATTGTGAAGTTAATTTTATATAGCTCATAATATTTTAATTATTAGAATCACCTACAGTGACGGCTCGTGCATTGGAGAACAGGGGAGGCTAAAGTCTTAAAGACTTTATACACACAGGAAAGCCCGCCGGAGGCGCGAAAATTCTTATGTTGTTGCAAGCTTTGCTTAATACTAAAGTCAGGGCATGGGCATGACAATGCGTAAAAAGTGCATGAGGAGCTATGAACTTTATTTTAAACTTTATTTGTAAACCATTTAAATGGCCGCCCATGACCGCAGCCCCATCATAGGTTTGCGCAATTAACTTTTGCCTAAAATTATAGGTGTCACACGTACGAATTAAAAAATTAAACAAATCGTCAGTTGTGCGCCCAGATCAAACATCATGAAAACCCATAAAACGTTCTACCACATTACCATATTTGACATATCTAAAAACGATTGAAAGTTGTGATGTACAGGTAATATCGGTAGTTTCATCAATTTCCCATGCAAAGAAAGAAACACTTTCAAACTCCTTGCTTATATTTTCCTTAATAATATATGCCATACTGTCTATAAGCTCATTTTGGATGGTTTTTGAAGTGTCCGAAAAAACGCTACCGCTTTAAAAAGTGCCAAATTGTAAATCATATTTGCTCCATAACATAAAAGTTCCCTGTAATTGCCGCCGATTAATCGAATCTTCGGTTTCATCGTGTCCGCGAAAAGCTAATTCTTGGGAATCCAAATAAATCGTAATATCGAAAAGTCTTTTTAAATTCGACCGATTTTCCCTAACCTGATTATTAAAAGAAATTATGGCCTTTCTTTGAGCTGTATCTAAAGCTGTTGCTATATTTTGTTTGCTAAACAATTTTAATTTACAAGATGAAAATATATGCTTCTTAGATTCAAAATGTCTTTCTGTAGAACAAGGTAAATTTTTTTAAATCGGAGTATTCTATTTTAGACCACGTTTGGTATTCGGTTTGTACAGAAAATAAAACACAGGACCAACAAAACATTTTTCTCGTTTAATGGAGCCGGTCAACCAATCGCGTTTATCGTACCAACTAATATTAAATCCTCGATTTTGTCGATTATCTGAGGCTTTAATTGAAATCAAATTTGATTGAGGCCTTCCCAGAGTTTTAATAATGTAAAATTTATTATCATAAGATAAAGACTTGAAATTATTTGTCAGCAAACAATCGACTATATCGTCAGATTTTTTAATTTCGTGCAATTTATCCATAATACCTAAATGGAAAAAAAACTTACCGAAAAAGTGAATACCTGAAAACACCTTCAAAATGAAAGAAAACACATTAAAAATATTACCAAAAAGCACTGCTATAATACAATACTGCCTGTTTTATACACAAATAACAAATATTATCAAGAAACACTAGAACGATTTACCGAAATATTTTTCAGTCCCGGTCCGGCACGGCATCCCGTCCTAATAATTAAATAAAAAACAAACGCAGTCGTATACTAACGGAGACCAACTAGAGGCTAGCCTCCTCTAACGCTATAATTACTGCAACTGAAATTACAAATCGGGACGTATGTCGCTGGTTGGATCGGTCTCGCGAAGCTTGTGTTTTTTAAAGCGTTCGGAGGCTTGGCTCCCTTGCAACGTATGGCATTTATTATTTCGGGTTGATGATTTATTCGTTCATGGGCGGTGCGTTTGATTTTTGTTGATGCAGGATACGTAGTACGTACTACGTAGTGAGTGATAGTGTTTTTTCGGGCATATTATGTATTTATATTGAAAATTAATGGTAAATTAATGATACCCAAGCATTTTCATTTTATTGCGATGAATAGCTTCAAATTTTATGGGGAGGCTATGCCGCCACTGTTCACCTAACTATTACATAAGGACACATTGTAAAATTAATTTAAGATTAGTAGATAAGGCAATATTGTGAAATTAAATTAAGACACTCAAGACGCAGGTACCTAGAACAGGTATCTATGGTATAAATAAAGATAGCTTTGTAAGTATGATTAGTTTGATCTTCCTCTTGAAGATGATCACTTGGTGATCGAAACACGTGTCGAGGTGTTAAAATAACGGTTTGGTGTTGGGAAAAAACTCCAGTAATATTCATAGTTCAATATGTTTTTGGGTTTATATTAAAACCTTTTTGGAACCCGATATCGACATAACAAAAGGGGGGAGAACCTTTAACTCAATGAAAGCAACTCTGTGCTCTTGACATACAAAATAATATTTTAATTGAATACAATTATTCATTATTTTCAGATAAATCACAAACCCCAGACACTGTCAAATGCCGAAATCCGTTTTTTGGCCGGTCTTACAAATTCTGAATATACCAATGAAGTATTGGATAACATTCTAATACCCAGAGTTGTTGGCACTCCAAATCATAAGAAGGTTTTCGAATATATCAAGAAAGAGCTACAAAAGTTGAATTGGAATGTACACATTGACGAATTTGAAAGTAATACTCCACATGGACTTTTAACATTCAGAAATATTATAGCATCTTTGAATCCTCAGGCGGATAGATATTTGGTTTTAGCTTGCCATTACGACAGTAAATACTTCAAGGATGAAGTATTTGTTGGTGAGTTTTGTTAACAATATTGCTCTATATATTTTAGGTACGGGTTCTTTGGTATTGTTCAAACTGTTGAATTGTTAATTGCTGTATGTATGTGTTAAAAACTTTCACTTCACCATGAAAAAATCAGTGTACTATTCAGTGATTTCTGAGTGATCTTATGAAGTTGAAGATAAAATGTAAATAGGTACTTACTTCACCATAAAACAATCAGTGTACTATTCAGGAATTTCTAAATGATCTTATGAAATAAAATGTAGAAGGTTTGATTGTTGCTACTCGAGAGGTACCATCTTTATCTGGATATGAGTTTGAAAAAGTTTTCATACAACAGTCAGTTTTTATTATTGATACGGTCCCAACCTTAAGATGGGTCAGTTCATCTTTCCATGCACACTACTGATGCAGTTAAGAAATGTACTCTTTAGTAAAACGTATAAAAAAACACTGGTATATATTATTTGAAATTCTTGAAATCTGAATAATCTGCTGGTTGGTGTTTCCGTCATGTCAGAACCAGGAAAAGAAATAATGGGATCTATAACAATAAAATGGAGGGAGCGATTGGATTTGAATCATTTTGATGATTACCAAGCACAAAGTTACCTCATCTTGAACAATTATTAAGTCCTCATATATTAACATATATATCATCAAATTTCTCATCCGTTTCTTACTAGGGCGTGCTGGTATGATTATTCCAAAAATCTATCTACATGTACTCAAATAAACGTAATGAAATTCTTTTTTTGCAAAACAAAATTTTGTCATGTTTTTTGTAACATATATTATATAAGAAAAAAATGTTTCATATTATGTCTAATTATTATTTTCCATAGAAAGAATGAAAATGCTATAATAAGCTTAATGCTTTATAATGAATTAAAATGGCGTAATGAAAAATCACTTGTAGTTATTTGAATCTGGTTTCTAGCACATTCAACTCCAATATTCAAGGTTAATCCTGATTAATTGGCATAGTTATAAACTTTCTCTTAATCGTTTATTCGTCTTTCTTCACCAAAAATTCGTATTTAGAAAGGTAAGATTTCGGTATGTTAGGAATAGGATAGTTGGTTAAATGATATCACATGTCACCTGTTATTAACCTATTCTAAGATGAAAGGTCTGGTATGGATTTTAAAAATTTCAAAATTGAAACTTGGTGGAGATAAAAATATCGAAATCTTTACAAGTTCCAACAACTGAAGTTTCCTGGATTGGATACAACTCGAGATTGATATCCAGACTTTCCACAGAACACTGTAAGTAACTGAATAACACTTGTTTTGTGGATACCATGCTTTTGTCTACAAAAACGGAAGACATCTAAACCTCTCGGAACTCAAATCTATGATTATGTACACAAGACAATATAGGTTGCATTATTAAGAATTTGAAAAGCCTAACCTCATTACAATCTTCAATCTAGATATTTCATTTGAAAATAAACTCCGAACAAACTTAGCTATCGATTTTCTCAATCGAACGGAATTGCTGAAAGATTCAATTGAACGATCCATGTTCCAAAAGAAAATCGTACAGGAAAATTAAATTCATATTCACAGAAAACGATATTCATCGGTTACTCTAATAATGGATACAAACTGTATGACACTGAACAAAAAGCAGTGGTGGTAGCAAGATCCGTTATTTTTTATGAAAGCAAACATATAAAAGATACAGTAAATCCAGAAGTATAACCAATAATTGACTGAAGAAGACAATAAAGAAGAAGAAAGAAATGAAGAAGATATTAATGCTCTTAACTCTGATAATGATATCGAGGAGGACAGTATGACCGTTTGTAGAAGTCAAAGAAACAGAAAACTGACAAAACATCTACCAAAAGGTTTTTCAATTGGCGCGGGTAGATTTTGGCGCCCCATGGCGGCCATTTTGTTTTCGTGACATCTGTCAAATCTTTTGTTTATTATTTAGTTGTTTATGCCAAATCATCATGGCAAGTTACACGATTGAACAGCACGTTCAAATGATAAAACGTTATTATCAAAATGAGTGTTCGTTAACGCAAACGGTGCGCGCACTGCACCCATTTTACGGCAGACGTGGTGGCCCTTCACAGTCGACTCTTCAACGTTTGGTGGCCAAATTTGAGACGACCGGTTCAGTAAATAATCAGCCAACACCCGTACGTTCAAGGAACGCAAGATCGGCCGAGAACATCGCCGCGGTCCGTGAAAGTGTATATCAGAACCCGTGGCAGTCTATTCCTCGCCGTGCACAAGAACTCGGCCTTTCGCAGACTTCAACTTGGCGAATTTTGCGTCGGGACTTGGGCCTACACCCGAACAAGATACAACTGATCCAGGAGCTCAAAGTTCATGACCATGGACAAAGCCGTTTGTTCGCTGACTAGGCTTCGAATCGTTTGGAAGAGGACCCCAATTTTGGCCGAAAAATCATCTTTAGTGACGAGGCACATTTTTAGATGTGTTGATAATGCAGGTGATAATGCATCCTCAAAAAGTTACCGTTTGGTGTGGATTTTGGGCCGGCGGCGTAATTGGTCCGTACTTTTTTGAAAACGACGTTAGTGAGGCGGTCACCGTCAACAGCGAGCGCTACAGAACGATGATAACTAATTTCTTATGGCCCAAATTGAACCATATGGACCTAGACGACATGTGGTTCCAGCAGGACGGCGCTACGTGCCACACAGCAAACGCCACGATTGACATTTTGCATGAACGATTTGAGG